TTTTTTTTTTTTATTGTTCCAAAGCCCCCTCTCTACTCCTAAAAAGCTAGAATGTAATTTAAAAAAACTGGTTGTCTCTAAGAATTTACAAACTAGTTATGGAGCAAGACACACATCTTTCTCTACATCTCTATTTCCTTCTTTGTAAAATGTGAAAGATAGAAGATAGCACCAAAGAGTGCTGGGTGATTTAAACAAGATGCTGTATGTAAAGTGCTTAGCACCTTGGCTATTACATGGAGCTCAATAAATCATTATCATTATTATAACTTATTATATCTTGGTCATGAAACTAAATAATATTAACATGATCACCATATAAACAAAAATATTGGATTGTGAGGTATCAGAACTGAATTAATTGAAAATTCTATACTTACTCATAGAAGCAGAGAGTAGAATGGTGGTTGCCAGGAGCAGGGGTAGGGGAAATGGGGAGATATTGGTCAAAGGGTGCAGTTTCATTTACGCAAGATTAGTAAGTTCTGGAGATCCAATGCATAGCATGGTGACTATAGTTAATAATAATGTATACTTGAAATTGGCTAAGAGAGTAGCTCTTAAGTGTTCTCATCACAAAAACAAGAGAACAGTAACTATGTGAAGTGATGGATATGTCAATTAGCTTGATTGCTGTGTTCATTTCTATATATCTATACATCTATATATATATCAAAACATAATTCACACACCTTAAATATCTACAATTCTTACTAGTCAACTATAACTCTAGAATAAAAGAAAATTCTAGAGTTAAATAAGTAAGGGGGAATGCACTGTGGTGAGGGTCACTAATGAATGGCTTCAGGAAGGAAATGTGGCTTAAGTTTAACCTTTGATCTATGATTTGCATTAATAGAGAAGCTTTGTATTTCTTATACCAATTCTTAAAACCCATTGACTTTTCAAGTCTCCTTTCTATTCTCTGAGTCTGGCTAGAGTCCTGCTAGCCACTTCCCCGACCCAGCACTCAATCCAGGCCTAGTTCTCTTCAGCATAGTTCTTAATGCTTAAAAGAGGAAGTAGGGAAAGGGAGGGGCAGGGAAGAAAGGAGGGGAGGGGAGGGGAGGGGAGGGTGGAAGGAAGGAACATACGGACGCATATACATACAACGGTGGAGTCTTGCCTGATGGGAGTGCATCATGACCTGATGGGCATGATTAACTCACACCTCAGTCCTGAGATCCAAAAATAAGCAAGTAAATAAACAAATAACAAATACAAGTATTTCCAAGAAATTTGGGGGCAATACAAAAATTTCTCATTCTGGTCCTCATAGAAGACAATCTCCTCCTAGAAAACTTATTTCCCAAATCTCAAAAATTAAAAACTTTCACAATTTCCAACACTGCAATTATTCAAAGTTTTAAAACAGATGCATCACTCAAAAATAAAATGTCATAGAATCCTAGAATGTCAGGGCACCTGGGTGGCTCAGTCACTAAGCGTCTGCCTTCAGCTCAGGTCATGATCCCAGGGTCCTGGGATCAAGCCCCACATCAGGCTCCTTGCTCAGCGGTAAGCCTGCTTCTCCTCTCCCACTCCCCCTGCTTGTGTTCTCTCTGTCAAATAAATAAATAAAATCTTTAAAAAAAAAAAAAAAGAGCTCCACCTTGGTCACTGGCTTTGAATGACTCTTTCAGGGAAGGTGCCTTCCTTACCTCTCAAAAGCCAAATCTCTACCCCAGGATTTACTGAGAGTAAATTTGATTTTCTAGATCACACTGGAAGCAGTACTCACCACCTGTCACCTAAGCCCTCCGTCCGCATCTCCAATAAGAACCCCCTTCCCAGGCACTCAAAGAGAGTCAGGTGTTTTTCAGTAGCCAAATATGCCAACTTCTTTTGGAGCAGCACAGTTTCGTGGGGTCTGTGTCTAAATTCCACTCCTCCCTTCTCTTCAAAACATGGTCATTGTGCGGTTCGTTGAGGGGGCAACCACACTGCATACTGGGAAATGGTCATGCTCTTTGTTTAGCAAATCCACATTTAGCAAGACATTTTTAAAATAATAGTTGCATGTGGAGAAAGTTTTATGCCTAATGTTCAACACAGCATTATTTATGAAAACCTGAAAATCAAGGTTCCACTAAGTGCGCTGAACCCGTTAAGTGAAATCTCTTTGATGCAATGTAATCTGGTCGTTTGAAATTATGAAAACCATGCAATATACAGAAAAAATCTTATGTTAATAAGTACGAGGGGGAGTTATATAGATCAAATTGCATTTATGTATGATAAATATATGGGCAAAGGAGGGGGGGAGAATAAAAGAAAATAAACCTGTATGTTAGTATCTGTGTCAGAGAAAGTAAATAATGGATCATTTTAATCCACTTTTTTCTAATTTGGGGGAAATAAATTTATATTAACTTCTATAATGTAAAGGAAGAAACATAGTACAACACAATGTACCTGAAATTAAGGAGTAATCATCACAAAGCCGACACACTTTCCTTGGCTGTCGGCATACAATGGCTCCATTACAGAAAGTCATCGCATAAGCAAAGGAGACGTTTTTCGGAAAGGCCATCCACCTCAGTTTTATTTATGTTTTTTCTAAATTAACCAAACCTAATGACAATAGATTTAAATATGTGTACTTTCTAGGATATGGTCTCATTTCTACTAAGTGGTTTACCTGTACATATATTTTGGAGGCTGTTCCTGGGGTGGAACAATCTTCGGTATGGGTGGGAATATACTCACAGATACAGCGAGACCCGATTACCTACACCCACCCCACGGGAGAACTGAGAGCCATACAAAGTCCTCATCTCAAAAATCTCTCCTGCCAACATGCCATAGTGATGATGACTCATTTACAGAATGAAGGAGTACTCGTACTCGAAGAGAATTCAATGATCAGGATTTGCTTTGGACTGGACACTTCCCAGACTTTTTTTAAATGAAAATAGCTCTGAAAAACTAAAATATTCAAGCATAAACATCTCAGTACGCAATCCATTATTAGCCTGGTTTTTTCAAAGTCAGAATGAACACGCACAGACACGGAAGTCCAGCCCTAAGAGTGAAATTGAGAAATGAAGACAAAGTGCAGTTTTCCCTTTTTCTGTTTTCTTCTGTTCTCTTATCTAAAGTGTAATATTTTTAAAATGTATGTTACATGCTCTAAAATAAAAGAGTAATGGGTCTTTAATAGCTGCGACTGGCAGCCTTTCTTAGTTCACTCCTCACCCTGAAGTTAGGAAAAGAGCTGCACTGATTACCTGCTGGGCGTTCAGTTGCTTTAATACTGGAAACAGAGACTCATCTGTCTTCATCCTGTTCCACCCAAAATAACGCTGACAAAATATGCAGGCAGTTAAGGCTTCTACATGTTTTTAAAGATATTTAAACAAATGATAAATAAAAAGGTGCAAAGAACTCACCTGTAATTCCATTCCCCGTATCTCTAAAGATTTTCATATTTATAAAGAATAAAGTGGTAAGAGAACAGAATGACAAAACAAACTACTGCAACATAATCATGTGGCATGTCTCCTGTTCAATGTCCTCTAAGATAAAACATACCCAACTCTCATTTTAGGACATCAAAGACTCGTTACTCTGAGAAAAGGTTAACCTAGAATAAAAACAAGTTTCAGATATCATACATATTTCTTTGAGAGAAAAAAACTGTAGTTAGACTAATACTATTGCAAATATTTAAGCATCTATCCAAATGATGATTTAAATATGTAAAAAGGAACATATAAATAATAAAACTAATCATCTTTTCTATTCTTTCAGAATAAATAATAATTATGTGGTTGTACCTATGAATGTTTATCACTACCTATTTCAAATAAAGATCCTCTTCACTCTAAAGAGATTATTCATAATAGCTAAAACCATGTAAGCAACCCAAGTATCCACCAACAGATGAATGGATAAGCAAAATGGGGCATATCTACACAACGGAATATTATTCAGCCTTAAAAAGAAAGGACATTCTGACACGTGGTACAGCATGGATGAGCCTTGAGGATACTGTGCTCAGTGAAATAAGCCAGACACAAAAGGACCAATACTGAATGATTCCACTTGTATGAGGTACTCAAGTCCTCAAAACCCTGGAGACAAAAAGTAGACTTGTGGTCGCCAGGGCCCGAAGGGAGGAGATGGGGAGTTGTTGTTAATGGGTCTAGAGCTTCAGTTCTTTTCAGATGAAAAGAATGGGGATGGATGTGGTGACTGGTGACTGTTGCCCAACAATATGAATGTATTTAATGCCACTGAATGGTACGCTTCAAGTGTTAAGATGATAAATTTTGTTATGTATATTTTACCACCAAAAAAACAAAACAAAAAAACCTAAGGAGAGAGAAAAAGGAGCATCTTAAAGTATTAAGAAAAAGCTGATCCAAGTGTTCCCTACAATTCAAATGAAAACATATATTTGGCTCAGTGCTCCTTTAGGTTTGAAGGAGTAAAAGGATATTCTCTAATTTTGTCCAGATCCGGCTTCCCCCACAGAAACGACCCCCTGGAGTCATCCACCACAGGTTTGAGGTAAGCGTCTGCAACAGCTGGGTTGGGAAAGCCAGGTGTGAGCTGCAGCTTGCGCAATTTTTTTTTCACTTTGGTATCATATGGGTTAGGTCTTATCTTCTTATTTTTTTGAGCTTCATGCCACCACTCTCTACAAGGCAAAGGAGACAAGATTTCATGACATTATAGTGGATGCACTGCAGATAAAGGGCTATGCTTAGAAGATGTAAACTCAAGCCCCAGAACAAATTCCATGAGCCACAGAGTAACCATGGCAAACACTGACTGCAAGCTTACTCTGCGCCTGGCACCGTGTCAGCTGTCATACACGCCGATCATCACCCGAGCACAATCCTACCTACCACTGTCATCACCCCACAGAGGAAGAAACCGACCCCAAGCACAAGTCACTACCTGCTCAAGACTTCACAGGGGGCACTGGTGCGGTCAGAACCTGAGAATCGCCCGTCGGGGCCCACAACTTCTCTGGGACTCTTTCTCAGCAAGAAAGGAGGTCATATATCTGTATCATTTACTTCAAATCAACTACAATAATAGACCCAAGAATATTTAATAATATGTAAAAATGCCAAGAACATGTTACATCTTAAAAATGCAGAACAGGACTCTACAGAAAGTAGAACCTCAATTTTGGAGAAAATGCATATATGTGAAGAAAGAAAACATATACAAGGCAATTTAAAATAATAAAAGCAATGACAACCATTATTTTACTGTGTTAGGCAATGTTCTAAGCAAGGATACAGCTGTTCATTTTCTTCTTTATATTTTATTCCTTTTTCAGTTTTTCCATTGTGATCGGAAATTACTATGGCAAGTTAAAGACTGCCCCACATTCTTTGCTTCTCCTCCCATCCAGAAGTGGGGCCTATGTCCCCTCCCTGGAGCCGGGTGGGCTCTGTGACGGAAGAAGGGATGCTGTACTAGGTCTTCAGAGCCTGCTGTTTCCACATCTGGACCCTTAAAATATCTGCCTCGGAAGCAGCTGACATGCTGTGTGAGGGAGCTCCAGAGGGAGGGGATCCACATGGAGGGGGTCCAGATGGAGGGAGTCCAGATGGAGGGGGTCCAAGGCCCCAGCCCACAGTTCTGGCTGAGCTCCTGGCTGACGTCAGCACCACTGGCCAGACACTTGGCTCCCTCACCAGCGGATCCTCTAGCCCAGCTGAGTTGCCCCCGACACACATGGAGCCCAACAGACATACCCACGCAGCCTCACCAAACTGCAGATCCATGGGCAAAAATCAATGACTGCTGGAAGCCACCGAGGTTTAAAGTATTTTACAATGCGGCAAGAGACAACCGGAAAAATTTATACAGTTAGGAAGAATGAATAGCATAAAGTTAAAAGCAAAGAAAACCCTCACCAATCTACACATTCAATGAAACATTAAAAAAAAAAACACACACACACTCTGTCGTGTTGCACTGCTTCCCATCCTTGCCGGGTGGGACACGGACTCAGATCTGCTCTCAGTCAGTGCCTCATTTCACCAATGCAGGAGTGCCTCCTAGCACCACAAAAGACTAACTGCAGTCTTCACTACAGCATCAAAAGGCAAAAAGGAACTAAGATCTGTCTTCATCAGTTTTACAATACCGTTTCCAGGAGTGCACTAAGAGAACACCTATAATTCTCCCCTACTCTCTTTTGAATTTCCATCTTTGAGATAAGCAATCAGGATTGTCAGCGAGGATGATCAGCACAACATACCGAGCGAGCATTCATCCCACTGAGAGAATCTCACCCTCCTTAAAGCAGGAGGGCCGGGCACTGCCATAAAGATGAAAGATGGCATCTGCCAGTCAGCTGAGCTGTGGAGGACACGGCAGGGAGTGGGAGTGACCGTGCTAGGACGGAAGGATCTGTGCCCGGGCCAGGTCGGTGGGGGTGACTGCCATTCTCTGTCCCTGCTCTTCCAGGGACATCTGGGCATTTGGGCCCAGTGTGTTCAGATCTCATTTCCCCGCAAGAGAACCCAAAACGTTCTGTGAAATCTCCCCTAATTTAAATGTTGGTAGCCAATTCACAATGAAGGCTCCACAGAAGAGGGCACTGTGCAGGCCTAACCAAACACAGCTGGGCTGAATTCAGTGGGTAGGCCCGGAGTAGCTCCACCTTAAAGGGGGGTGACAAGCTGGAGTCTGGTTAGGGGAAAGGGAAAGCGGAAAAGAAAGCAAGGCAACACTCTCAATTTCACTGCCTTCCACCTCTCCTCCGGCTCTCTAACTGCATCTGTCTTCATGTTCCCGAGCCAGGCACAGCTCCGGCTGCTCCTCTCTGCCAGGCACCAGCTGGACAACCAGACAGAAATGGCTAAAATGTAAACCACTCAACTAACGAGAGAAAATAAATAAGGCATAAATAGGCATTCACTCTATCAGAAATGCAAATTTTCAACAAACAAAAAATTTCAGGATACCAAATTAAAAATCTAAATACCATTTTTACTTATCCTATAATAATCAGATAAGAACCCAACAATACGTCTCTGAAGGCATACAATCATGTTTGATCAGACTTTTAAAAAAAAGAAATAACAATAAGCATGTGATTAATTAATCACAATACATCAAAAGACTACTATGGAGTCATTAAAAACTGTTACTCATCTATACATTGTTGACAGAATGCCTTGTTCTATCACCAAATGAGTTACAGGTAACATAAAAAGAAACAACACACACTTGTATGAGTACAGATGTGTATATATATATATAATGTCTGAGTATACTGTGCAAAGTCTAAAATTATATAAACCAAAATGTTAACTATAACCATCTTTTTAATTCATATTTCATAATTTTTCTATTACTATTTGTACAGTAAAGTTGTTTGTAGTTTTTCAAGTTATTTAAATACCATGACCTACGAGCTACCCAGTAACTTATTGCCAGTATATTATTTCCTCAATAATATGAAAATCATGAGGAGAGATACAAAGAAAGCATAAAATAAATACACTGGTACATATGCTACAGCTAGAGAAGGGCAAACATTAAAACGACTTCTGCATTTAAGTTTTAATTTTAATCACTGATTAAGAATCACTGATTCTTAGACCAGAACATCTGAGAATTTTTCAGACACCAGGAGATACAACTGGAAAGAACTCCAAAGAACCATTAAATCAACTCCTACCAAATAGTATCTCATGACAAGTTGGTGGTTAGAAAATGCCATCACAACCTTGTGAATAGACTAAAAACCGCTGAACTGTGAAATTTATGGTATGTGACTTATAGTCCAATTTTTTTAAATGCCATCGAGGACCAACCTTAAGAAAGAACTCCTTTCATGGACATCCTCCTAAATACCACTGTCCCAGAAACTCCATAATTGAAGTGTACCCCATGGGCAGCACAATGGTGGGTTCTGGGTGGAATGCACCACCATCACTAAACACATCAGAATACACACAGCAAGAAACGGGACAGCAGGGCCCGAGGTACAGTTCTCAACATTGTATTTCCATGTCACTCTGGCTCCTCTTTCAGAACACTTAACACAAGGAAGTACAGGGACATGTTTGCTTCTGTCCCCCCCAAGAGTGTGGAGCTCCTTGAGAGCGCAGCCTACAGCTTAGTCAACTTTCCTACCCCAGCCTAGCAGGGCGTCTGACACAAGAGCAACCACTCAATCCATATCTGAATGAATGAAATGGGAATTTCTACTTGCCTATGGAATCCCACAGACCTGGCTATGTAGCCCCTTGATCTAGGATAAGCCTGGTACCTCTAAAAAAATTGTCTCTGATTTCACTGAAGTCTAGAAAGGGAAAACAAATTTGGTAACCCAGTCAATTCCGGTGATTTGTGACAGTTCATGATGCAAATAATAGTTTTGTTTGTTAAACTGGGTATTTTTTTTTTTTAAGACTTATTTATTTGAGAGAAAGAGAGCAAGAGAAAGAGAGAGAGCAATAGAGAGCATGTGCATGCCTGTGCAGGGGAGAGGAGCAGAGGGAGAAGAGAATCCCAAGCAGACTCCATGCTGAGCACTGAGGGCTGAGCGCAAAGCCCAACGTGGACTTGATCCCACAAACCCGAGGCCATGACCTGAGCCAAAACCAAGAGTCAGATGCTTAACCAACTGGGCCACCCAGGCACCCTAAATCAGACATTTACATAAACGTTTTAATTAAAGAAATTAAGAAAGAACTTACGAGAATTTTAGGAGAGGTTCCAGGCCATGTCCAGGGAATTCATTGAGAATTTCCATGGCTGTAACACAACCTACAGTTGGTATTCCTTCTGTATAATCACTTCCAAGCAAATAGGCCAAATTTATTAATTTGTTCCGGTCTAATCCTATAAAAGTAAAAACATTTTATATTTTTTAAATTTTTATTAGAACACACCAAGCAAGATTCCGCCTCCGGGCCTTTACACTCTCTAGGCCCTTTGTCTGACGTGCTCATCCCTAAGGTATGTACCACAACTCACTACCCCTTTTCTTTAGGCCCTAGCCCAAAAGTGACCTATTAGTAAAGACTTTCCTGACCACAGCTCCATATACAACAGCAAATGCTCTTCCTGTGACTGCAGGTCACCCTCTCCTCTTCTACAGCTTTGTTTTTCTACATGGATTATGTTTATTATCGTTTCTCCTACTAGACTTGTATTCTCCAGTTTCCCCACCGCCAAGAACAAAAATTGGCATACAGGAATCACTCGATATGTATTTGTTAGATGAATGGAAAAATGAAGAATCACTGCCAGAAATACTAACACAGGGCCATGGAGCTCACTGCCTCCCTTCGCTGCCACCTTTGGTTTATTCCAGAGATCTCGGATAACCGGTCAAAGTGTAAGCAGGTCAGGTAATTAAAACTGCAGAAAATGCCTAAACATTACTAGGGTTTTAATTTCTTAACTCTAATTTAAAACTCCTATTCCTCTCTAGAAGCAAAAGATCACTTACATGAAAACTTGTAGAGACCTACCATTTCCTAGTTAATACATCAAACTAGTTCCTTGGAAAGGAAAAAATTCATAATACGAATTCTAAAGGTAAATCTCAAAGAGTACTCACACTCTGAAGTCTTACCAAGTTGGTTGTGAAAGTCCACATACTGGTAATACTCTACAAACTTGTTTTTATTAAAGAAGTTTTTATAGACATGCCGTGCTCCAAAGAGCCAAATATCACTATCATCAGTGATTGTTCCAGAAGTCTGATCAGTCAGATCCAGGATGGCGCACTGCGCCTCTGCTTCCATGGGAGCCTCGATGTAGGGAATGCCAAACAGGCGAAGAAGTTCCTGGAGAGTGAGAGACACGCGTGATCCCCGGGAAATGCAGGACCCGGCCTTGACCAGAAATGGGAGCAGTGCGCACACATTTCACTGAAGGCATCCGCCTGGGGAATCGGATTAAGTAAAACCAGCAGTAGGAATTGCTAAAGGAGGCCTGGCTTGTACACCTACCTGGCTTTCCAGGAACATCTGCCCCGTCACGGTAGCAGCAATCCGTTCTTGCTGCTGTTTTTGTGCTTTCAACGAATTCTGCTGTGCTAACAGGCTGCTCTCCAGAGTTTCCAGTTCCTCCTGCAAAATAATTCCATCTGTAGATAATTATATTAATGATCCAATTAAGCTCATTTGTTACAAAAAGACTGCATTTAGTCTGACTAAATTTCCAAATAAGCATTCCTCCTTATGAAGTTTCCCACTTGGATTTCTGAGCAGGTCTGTAATATCTTTAGAGTTCCCTCACTAAATCACCCATGTTTTAGTTTAAACAAATTGAATTTTTAAAAAACACAGAGTGAGGGGCACCTGGGTGCCACAGTCCATTAAGCGTCTGCCTTCAGCTCAGGTCATGATCCCAGGGTCCTGGGATCAAGCCCCGCATCGGGCTCCCTGCTCAGCCGGGAGTCTACTTCTCC